CGGAGTGGTGGGGGGCGGCCCAAGGGGCTGGGAGAGGGTCTGGCCCATGCTGCGCCTGGGCTGGGACTGGTCCCGCTGGCGCAGGGTAGCAGGAAGCTCTCCGCACACTCACCGGACCTGGGCTAGGACTGGGTCTACAACACTGAATTGTTCATCAGCTATTCTTGTTCTAAAAATCTGTTGTGTATTGTTGTATGTTACCCTGGTTCTGTCATTGTTTATTTTCTTTTCTATTTAATAAAGATCTTTTATTGTTTCATAAAAAACAACAACACTGAGATTCCATCTCACCCCCAAAAACTGGCTTTCATCAAAAACTTTACCAATAACAAATGCTATAGGCATATGGAAGAAAAAGATCCCCTCTCTACTGCTGGTGGGAGTGTAGACTGTTGCAACCACTGTGGAAATCTCTGATAATTCATTTAAAAACTAGAATTTGAAGTCCCATTCCACCCACCTATTCCCCTTCTGCATATCTTCCCAGAAGAACTAAAAACATCATATCATATGCATATATGTGCATCCATGTTTAGAGTAGCACAACTTGTAATGCCTAAATATTGGAAACAACCCAAATTCCCATCAACTGAGGAAGGGATTTTTAAAAAATGTGGGTTTTTTGTTTTGTTTTGTTTTGATTTTTGGTTTTTTGGCTTTTTTCTTGGGGGGGGGGTTGTGTGTGTGTACTGGATTACTACCCAGCCATATGAAGGGCTAAACTGGAGAGTTTCATAGGCAAATGGGTACAACTCAAGACCATACTCATAAGTGAAATAACTCAGAACCATGGGTGTGAACAACATATTTTCGCACTAGGGTCAGCAACTGAAAGAGTAAATAAGATCTAAAATGCACAATAGATACTGTGAAGTGGGAAGAAACTGTTCCCAAAAAAAGAAAAAAAAAGACAAGCTATGATCAAGAAAAGGCAAAGAAAGAAAGGAAAAAGAAAAAGTATATATTTATACATGATAGTTAAAATAATTATACTTATAGTTTCTCTTAGTTCACTGAAAACAAAGGTTCATACTAATCATGTCTATATATTTACTCTGAATAATTACTACAATGACAACAATATGCAATGTTTTAATTATTGTAACTCCCTTACTAATCTGTTTTGAAACTTTCACTGTTATTTTTATCATTTACTCTTTCAAATAAAAATAAAATAAAACATTATGCTGCATCCTTTTCCACCTTATTCACTGAATCTAGAGTGACTTCTGACTCTTCCCCTATGGTCAAAATGAACATAAAAGTTACACATTCAGAATTTATTCAGGACATCCATGCAGCCACAACAACACATCTAAAGATATTCATGAAAAATGGCTTCTAATGCTGCTCCACAAAACTGCCAAGAATGATAGGTTATGTCACGAAAGTGATGGGGAGCATTTTGAGAGGTACAAGCAGCAATATGACTTTTACTGTAATAAGCTGTTTTGTTGTTGTTTGGAAACAGGATCTTGCTTTGTGCAGGCTGACCTTGAATTCACTATGTAGCCCAGCCTGGACTCAAACTTATGATGTTCCTCCTGCCTCTGCCTCCCAAGTACTAGGATTGCAGGCATGCACCACCATGCCCAGCTGTAATAAATAATTTTCCATGTAAATAGTCATCATATTTCTCAATCCATCCTCATAGGTCCCATTTAAAAATATTCTCTTCTATATTGATCCTCAAACTACTTTTTGTTGACAGACTAGTAACTTATTAATTTATGATGAAATCCAGAAGCAGTTGTTCTCTAAATGTTATGGTACTCATTAGTTAACATCCAGGACCAGGCATTGTACATCCCCTAGGTTCATGATAAAGGATACCTATCAGCTCAAATTTAAGCATAACCTATTCTACTTTGTACTGCTGCTCAACTGTCACATGTAAAAAATCCTTATCCTGCTTGAATTCTCTGATTCCACAAATACATACCAGGTTACTTTCCTATGAAAACATATTGTTAAATAAAATGAGTAACCTAATTCTAAATAAGGCCTAATAACCATCTTCAGTCTAAGGAGGAAAAAAGAAATAAATATGAAAAAATCTTTAATATGAAGCAGATTATAGTAATAATCAGAAAAGGCTTTGAAAAGGGAAATACTACTAATATCCATCCAATGCTCTGTGTACTTTATGCATAGTATACTAGCTTATTTCCCATCCCCCAAACTCTATTCAGTAGATGGTTTTATCTTTGTTCTACAGAGAATGAATCTAAAGTTCTGAGAGCTACAGTGCCTTGCACAACAATCAGCCACTGGCAAACAGCAACATGGAAATTTTATTCCAAAGTCTTTAGTTAAGACTTTATGAGAAGTCTTTTAGCTAAAAGAGTCAAAAACAATGTTACATCACTAGTGGGTACATCAGAAAAGTTTTCATGCCAGGCATTGTGGTTCATGTTTATAATCCCTCAAGAAGCTGAGGCAGAAAGATTGCCAGAAGTTCAAGGCCATTCTGGGCTATATATTGCATTCAGAACCAGTTAGAACCACATAATGAAACCCTGTCTCAAACAAATAAAAAGAAAAATTATCATGAGCCACATCATCTTTGAGATTAATATTGAAGAACAGTTATGATTTTAAGAAACAGAGATGGATAAGAAAAATTTCAAGATAATATCAATAATATTTAGAAGTAGCAAAATCAGGAAAAGAAGTCCTGGAGAATGGAGTGAGGTCCTACTTGTGACCAACTCAACCCCTCATTCCATCTATAACTCTGCAACTGTGACCACCCTCCTCCTAGAAAAAAAAATCCTGGGTCACAGACAAGGACTTGTGTCTAATAATTAACTACAATTGATTTCCCAGCCCAGGCTTCATCATTCTTTTTTCATCAGAAGCTCTGATTACTGGCACCAGCAGAGGGATCTGGAAAATCATTCACATGTTGCTGATGCTCTCCATCTTGCCTCCTCAATCCAGGGGACGATAAATCCTAGAGCACCTGGGATCCTAAAGTGTGAACCTCAGAGCTCAGCAGACAATCACTGTGCTGCTGCCTACACTGTGGTATCACTGCAGCTGCTGTCACGGCCCCAGCTCACAAACATGGACAAGATGCTTCGTTGGGTCTCTGTCTTTGCCATCTTCCTGGAGGTGTTTGCTCAGACAGGTAGGGAGCCCACAGATGGCCAAGGAGCCTGAAATGAGAAAAGAGATTGAACCTGGGATGTTTTATTCTTTGAGGTAAATGCTGTTGTATGTCTTATACTTGCCCACAGACCTCCAGAAGAAGGTATTTGTGTTCCCTAGAGAATCTGACAGTGATCACGTGAGCCTGCTGACAAAGCTGGAGAAGCCCCTGCAGAATGTTACTGTGTGCTTACGAGCTTATAGTGACCTTTCTCGACAATACAGCCTCTTCTCCTACAACACTCAGGGCAGAGATAATGAGCTACTCATTTATAAAGAAAACATTGGAAAGTATAGTCTATACATCGGAGGGACCAGAGTCACAGCTAAGGTTCATGAAGAGATTCCTGCTCCAGTGCACATCTGTACCAGCTGGGAATCCTCCTCTGGCATTGTTGAGTTTTGGATCAATGGGAAACCTATGGTGAAAAAGGGCCTGAAGAAGGGGTACTCTGTAGCACCACACCCTAAGATTATCCTGGGGCAGGAGCAGGATTCCTATGGAGGCAGTTTTGAACAGAGCCAGTCCTTTGTGGGGGAGTTTGGAGATTTGTACATGTGGGACTCTGTACTGTCTCCAGAACAGATCCTGTCTGCATATGATGGGTTCCCTGACAGTGCTAATATTCTCAACTGGAAGGCTCTGAACTATGAATCGAAAGGCTATGTCATCATCAAGCCTCGAGTGTGGGCCTGAGCTCAAATGTTGACCACAGCTCTTGAAAAGGAAATGACCAATGCCTAAGAGATCTTCTCGATGCAACTATATAGCAGAGCCTTTGTCTGTAGCTCTTTTCTGAAGTTCCCATCTATGTATGTGCCTAATAAAAATATTGTATCATTCCATCTGCACTTGTCTTAGTCCCAAACACTTTCTATTAGATGTACTTCTTTGGTAATTGGTTTGTCATTATCCACAAAAGTCACATTATAAAATGTGGAGAAATCAAGCTTTAAGTAACTAGAAAAATATCACAAAGCCACAGCATTTAATGAGTTGGGCAGCACTTATAAGCTGCTAATAATCATTTTAATAACAACTCAAAATCTGTGCAGAATTGCAACACGAATTCTTCTATTTGTTTTTCCAAGTACAAATCAATCAAAAAGAAGTCTGAGGTTGCTCTGGGGAAGTGGCTATAATGAGATAAGTAAGCAATAGTTGAGAACTTGACAGTAAGTAATGAGATGGGGAAAAACTAGAATAAGAATGAAAAATAAAAATATATAAGAAACTGAGGTCATTTTATGTGAAAGAAAATATGATTTTGTGTCTCTAAAATCCCAAATGTACTCTATAAGTCTTGGCTTTCATAATGCTGCCCTGATGTCATCAGGAAAACATTATAATCTGAATACTGTTCACGTTAATCCTATTTGAATCCATTCATGGATCATTTCTTCTCACAGCATACAATTTAAACCTCTATATGTGACTTTGTCCACCATGACCTGATTTGCTTACCTCTCCACTGCATTCCACGTGCAGCTCAGCACAGAAAGTGACTTGCTAATTACAACACTGCCAAATAACTACAAGACTTGTTACTCATAGTTATTCTCACAGTATCAAGCATATTCCCAAAAAGTAGATGTTACGCTTTGCATCTGCAGTGTCCCCTGAACATGTGCTTAGAGGTAACCCTTTTGGGAGGAGAGTGGATTGGGGGGCACCATACTTAACTTGCTGTTAAGAGATTGGTTCTGATCAGGAGTGTTACTAGGAGCATGAACTAGAAGGTTACATCTACCTCCCTCACTCCTCCTTTCTCTCTCTGCTTTCTGGTCACCATGATATGAGCAGCTTTCTTCCACCAGACACTTCTGGCATGCCCTTTATTGTCTTGGAAGCAGCAGGTTATGGAGTCAAACCACAAATCAAAAACAAACCTCTCTTTCTGTAAGTTTTGGATGTTCCACAATTTGTCTCAAGGGCTAGAGTGACCAAGGCAATAGGAGTTGCCTTTCCAGAGAAGCAAGCACCTCCGGGGAAATTTGGAGTGCATCTGGACAAAAAGGCAGGCTTTGTGCACAGACGACAGAGCGTTGGTCCAAGAGAAATAAAACAACCAGGATAGCGTCAGAATTGAAATCAAAATGATTGCTTCAAATTTGTGATGCCATTTACCCAAAATGAACTGAGAGGCAACCAAAAGACCAAAAAGAGAGGGACTAAAATTAAGAATTCCATAATAGATTGAGATGAGCAGGAGCAGGAACCTGGGAAGCTTTGTTACTCAGCATCAGTCTAATTAGACAGGGATTATAGTAGTGTGAGAAGTTACTAGTTTACAGTTTCTATCTCATAAGTTCCTAAGATATGGTTTACGATCTCTTAATATAAAATAACTTTCCATAAGCTTGTAGCGTGAATGCTAGAAAGATCTATTTCGTATAATGAATGTTTCCCTCAATAACATGTGGACACACTGTTTGCCTAAACATTGTGTAAGCATTCAACAATAGGCAGGTTTAGTTTCACAATCCCTCTGCCAAAAAACCTAGGAAAACTTCAGAAATAAAGCCAGTGCATTCAAATAGTAACACCCATTTGTTCAATTAATTACTGAACCACTATTCCATTCCAGGCACTATACCAAGTACTGAAAATGTTATATTGGGTGAAATCATCACATTGCTTGCCTTTGTGGAGTTTATATTCTAATAAGTCTGTGTCATCTAAATATGGATTTCTCCCAACAATAATCATCCTTCCTGTAATACATTACTTAAAATTTTAGATTTCTTCTATCTTGGGTTGATATCTTGGTACCCCCTCTCCTGATTCTATGTTAGAGGTGTCACTTATTTTTGTTGATCATTTGCAACTTCTTGTATATCACTTAGGGTCCACACTTCAAATCTAGTTTCTTGCTCTTGAAAATCCTCTTCCTCTTAAAATTTTTTCTAGACTCTAAGACAACTATTTGTCAGCTCTTTCTTATGAGTTAGAGATATCATTTATTTTTATCTGACTTTTTGCATATTCTATAAGGTCTACTGTTCAAATCTAGTTTCTTCTCTTGGAAATCCTCTGCCCCTCTGTCTTTTTTTAAATAATGTATCATAAATTCTTATCAGCTCTTTCTTCTATGGAGCCCCACTTCATTCAAATCTATCATAGGTCCCTTGTCTCCATAAACTGTATGAGTTAAGGACTATCTGAATGAAGAAAAATGCATTCTTGCCCCTACAGTGGCCATAGCTTTCTCAGGTTCTCTAGATCTCCTAACAGCAATGCGCATGCTGCAATCTTTCTGACTGATTCCATGGGAACTCTCTCGTGAAGTTTGATATGAAGAAGTGGAAGGTTCAACAATCATCCTCTGAAGATACCAGGCATATGACCTACTACTCCTTCAAGCAGCAAACCTCACTGAACACATCTTTGGAAAGATTATTTGCAATTTCTACATTTGTCTACCCTCCACACCTGACAGTAGCCAAGGAACACAAGGGTCATAGAAGTGTTTCTTAATCATTTCCTTTGTCAGTGTTTCTTATGAGTAAGTACAGTTTTCATTATCTAATATATAAGTGCATAACATCAATGGCTCATTAAAAACTGCAAAAAAGAAAGTGCATTTTAACCTCACTTAAAACAGAAATGGGATTTCTGAAACTTGCTTTGGGCACTTTCCTCATGTATGGTGATTAACACAATGAGGAAAGCACCAGAAGTCACAGAGGAAACTACTCAAGTGATTCAGTCTAGAAGGAAAATGGAAAGACTTAGGAGTCACTGTAACCCAGGAAAATGATTGCGTAGTGATGCCATAATAATTGGCCCCTCCCAACTCATCACTAATGCTGTAAACCTGGGGAAAATGTAATGCACAAGCTGTCCAGTGAGGGGGATAGCAAACATCTCTAATAAGAGAAACCACTTTGAGCCTCTTTCATGTAAAGGTAAAGATGTGAACCTCATCTGGTGACTACAAAAAAAAAAAAAAAGGCAAAGCCTTCAGGCACATGGTTCCAGGACTGCTTTTACTAGAAAAGTCCACAAAGGATTTTCTTAGATGAGCAGACCCTGCTATTAGCTTCCTGGGGAGTTGTTTCATATGGGGAACTCTGGAAAGGTCTGGTTCTAAAGTAGTGAGTTCTTTTTGATGTGAAATCCACCTTGACTCAGATTTGAGTTAGCGTGAGAAAGAAAAAGATGTTTTAATCACATCCACACTAGAAGTAACAAATATAAAGTCACATTTGGAGAAGAATGAGGAGATTTTGGGTATTCGTGTGACTTTTTTGTTATCTAGAAAGAATAAATATCTGGATCCATTCAATAGGAGGAAAGGGTGAGATAATATAAGACCTTTAGATTTTAATTGTCAGGGTTAAACAGCTGGTTAACTTATCCACTTGTCTTCATTTTTATTCCAAAATTTTTATTTGGTGTTTTTCGGGCATTGGCCATTTATCTCAAGGTTCAGCTGGGGAGATGTCAAGAGGCTCCACCATAAAGTTCAAACCCTGCAGAAGGCATATGCGCAATGCCACATAAAGCCACAGGACCCAAAGGCAAAGTAAACCTAATGTTATTGATACAGCAGGCTGAGCTTCCATCCTATAGCTGTATCTAGAAGGAGAGACCAAAGACAAAGCACCTCACGGAGCGCTCTGGGGACTTCAGCGGTTTCTCAAGGCAATTTTGGGCTCTTCTGGGGATCAGACAGGATGATGCATGCAAAGACCAACTCAGTACATGTTCCAACACAGCATGAGTGCTCAGTGATTGTTAGCTGTGATGTTAATGAAGATAAGCATGAAACTGACTCCCTAAAACTTTAAGTAGGCCACCTGTTTTAACTTCTTGCTATAGTTCGCAGAATAAAAAAACCCTATGCTCCATGTTCAGTCCCTGTCCCCACATCTAATTTTTCCCTAAACAAATGCTTAGTATACACTCCAGCTCTTTCTATACACCAAGAGGAGCATCATATTTGAGTTTATGCATGTGATTTTACACTGATAATAAACAATCAAGGACAAAGCATTAACAAAGATCCCAAAGTATGCAGAATGGTGCCGGGTGACCTTCAGCACATCTTTGACTTAGCTAAGTTATTCTTCCCTAGAAGAAGAGGCAAGTACCCAGCTATGTAAGGCCAAAGTTTACCCATATTCCTTCTGTGACCCACTTCTAATGAAATCCCCTGACTCACTTCTGGCCTCTGACTCTACGCAGATCCATAGAATGTGCAGTGAGCATCTTAGAAAATGAATCCAGGAGACAAGAGCTAGACAACAAAACTTCTTGTCAGAGTCCCTTCTAAATCACAGAGTCTATGGGGGTAGCTACTCTAAAGGCAAAGACAACAGATCCAAAAAGTCTGTGAGATTGGCAGCTTGTGCCTGAGCCAGAGTCCAATGAAATATAAATGACTTAATAATCTTGTAAGATTGGCCCAGAACTAATAAGGCTAATCCTTGACAACACAAAAACCATTGTTGTTTCCTTCAACAAAAAATGGCAATGAGATTTCCTGGTGTTTTGGTAATCTCTTATAAATAGGTCATAATTATTTAGTATATTTAAAAAAACAGAAAGCTACACAGACAAATTCCATGCATTCAAGAAAATAGTAGACATTTTTAGGTCTGGAGAGGCTTCTGTCCCCTTGAATCTCTTGTTTGTTTAAGTACTTTATTTAATCATCAGTCTCTTACAAAGTCCACTTCTTCATCCTGCTTTCTCAGATCTGCCTGTTTAAAAAATGCCAGATAAGAGAGGAGCAAAGAGAAAAACAAAGAGAAGAGAACAAGAAAGAAAGGGAGAAAGGGAGAGGAGAAGAGAAGAAAAAGAATTATGATAATAAGGTCCTATTATTTTTAACTGCAA